TATGTCTGTTAGTCTATAAGGTGCCACAGGACTCTTTGTTGCTTTTACAGATCCAGACTAACACGGCTACCCCTTTGATACTCAATTGGAAATGTTGATTAGAAACAAAAATTTTCATTTTGACATTTCTTGCAGAAAAATGGAATGTTTTCATCAGAATTGCCATTTTCCCATGAAAACTGTCATGCTGGATGAAACTGCATTTTTCAATGGGAAAACTTTCTCTATGCAACTTTTGACCAGCTCTACATATTAGTAATTTAGGATTAAATATGTGCCAGGGAAGTTGTGATAAGCCCAAAAGCAAGCATGGTAACCCCAGGCAGTTCAGAGCGATGGTCAACTAAAGTATATAATTCACACATGTAAGTTATGAAAATGCAGTTAGGGCACTCTAACAAGCCTGACTCTGCCCTATAGTGACACCAGGAGGGGGGAAAAGGGGGAGGGAAATCAATGTGTCTTTAAAACTTAGTTTAATGTAATCTGGGTCTACAACCACTAAAATGGCTTAAGGAAAGTCTAATGGTTATCATAGAATCATAGAAGATTAGGGTTGGAAGAGACCTCAGGAGGTATCTAGTCCAACCCCCTGCTCAAAGCATGACCAACACCAACTAAATCATCCCAGCCAGGGCTTTGTCAAGCCAGGTCTTAAAAACCTCTAAGGATGGAGATTCCACCACCTCCCTGGGTAACCCATTCCAGTGCTTCACCACCCTCCTAGTGAAATAGTGTTTCCTAATATCCAACCTAGACGTCCCCCACTGCAACTTGAGACAATTGCTCCTTGTTCTGTCATCTGCCACCACTGAGAACAGCTGAGCTCCATCTTCTTTGGAACCCCCCTTCAGGTAGTTGAAGGCTGCTATCAAATCCCCCCTCACTCTTCTCTTCTGCAAAGTAAATAATCCCATTTCCCTCAGCCTCGCCTCATAAATCATGTGCCCCAGCCCCCTAATCATTTCCATTGCCCTCCGCTGGACTCTCTCCAATTTGTCCACATCCTTTCTGTAGCAGGGGGCCCAAAACTGGACGCAATACTCCAGATATGGCCTCACCAGTGCTGACTAGAGGGTAATAATCACGTCCCTTGATCTGCTGGCAATGCTCCTACTAATGCAGCCCAATATGCCCGTTAGCCTTCTTGGTAACAAGGGCACACTGCTGACTCATATCCAGCTTCTCGTCCACTGTAATCCCCAGGTTCTTTTCTGCAAAACTGCTGCTTAGCCAGTTGGTCCCCAGCCTGTAGCGGTGCATGGGATTCTTCCGTCCTAAATGCAGGACTCTGCACTTGTCCTTGTTGAACCTCATCAGATTTCTTTTGGCCCAATCCTCTAATTTGTCTAGGTCCCTCTGTATCCTATCCCTACCTTCCAGAATATCTACCTCTCCTCCCAGTTTAGTATCATCTGCAAACTTGCTGAGGGTGCAATTAATCCCATCATCCAGATCATTAATAAAGATGTTGAATAAAACCGTCCCCAGGACCGACCCCTGGGGCACTCCGCTTGATACCGGCTGCCAACTAGACATCCAGCTGTTGATCACTATCCGTTGAGCCCGATGATCTAGGCAGCTTTCTATCCACCTTATAGTCCATTCATCCAGCCCATACTTCTTTAACTTACTGGCAAAAATACTGTGGAGACCGTATCAAAAGCTTTGCTAAAGTCAAGATATATCATGTCCACTGCTTCCCCCATATCCACAGGGACAGTTATCTCATCATAGAAGGCAATCAGGTTGGTCAGGCATGTCTTGCCCTTGGTGGATCCATGTTGACTGTTCCTGATCACCTTCCTCTCCTCCAAGTGCTTCAAAATGGTTTCCTTGAGGCCCTGCTCCATGATTTTTCCAGAGATTGAGGTGAGTCTGACCGGTCTGTAATTCCCCAGGTTCTCCTTCTTCCCTTTTTAAAGATGGGCACTACATTTGCCTTTTTCCAATCGTCTGGGACCTCCCCCAATCGCCATGAGTTTTCAAAGATAAAGGCCAATGGCTCTGCAATTACATCAGCCAACTCCCTCAGCACCCTCGGATGCATTAGATCTGGCCTTGTGCATGTCCAGCTTTTCTAAATAGTCCTTCACCTGCTTGGTGTCTGCTTAACCTGGTCCTTAACCTGCTGTATTGCTTGGTGTCACTACAGGGCAGAGTTAAGGGTTGTTAAGGGAGCCTTAGCTGTTCATTTCCACACCTTACCATGCCTGGATTTCTTTTTAAGTTTAACCATACTGCTGAATTTCCTGGGGTTGTAATGCTTGGTTGGGGATAAGTACAACTTCTCTGCAATGAACGGTACCATCTGTTGCTGAGCTGTACTTTAGCTCTATTTTAACATCAGTTTTGTCTGAGACTAGCAAAAGGAGCGGGACCCTAGCCGTCTCCATGCAAGGCAGCACGTGTCTGAACTCAAGAAGCGGCTACACGTGTCCTGGCCTACTGCTGCCAGGCCTGGAGCAGTTCATGCCAGCAGAGAGGGGACACCCTCCGGCCTCGCACCTCTGCACACCTAGCTTCAAAAGGGCTTTCGATCCAAAGCGAATGGAAGCTGCTGGTCCTGACCGAGCCCACAAGAGCTGTTTGCCCAGCTCAGTATCTGGGGCTAATCAGTCCCTTCCTCACTTTCAGAAGGACTGAAAATAGGCTCGCTAAAGCTGCCTCAGCTGTTCAATGCTATTGGGATGGAGCATAAATCTTCCCCGGGGCTCCCCCAGCTGCCCAGTGCTGGGTTGACTGGAGGCTCAAGACTCCATGGAGCAGCTACAAGGCCAGAATTTTTGAGAATGCTCAGCTCCCACGTCGGCATCTAAAGAAATGGGCAGGCCAGCCGGGGCCCTGAGCGCTCATGGGTGCTGAGGGCTTGGAGAGCTGGTCCTCACTCATCGCAGGGCTCTCAACTCCAGCAGGAAGCAACTGAAACCTTTTGCCAGGGATTTGGAGCAGAGCTCCAGGCTCTAAGGAAGACTGGCCTTATGGATCGGGTATTAGAGCGGGAGTCTGATAATCAGGGCCGGCTCCAGCATTTCTGCTGCCCCAAGCAAAAAGAAAAAAGCCGCGATCGCGATCGGCGGCGGCATTAAAAAAAAAAAAAAAAGACCGCGATCGGCGGCGGCAGGTCCTTCGCTCCTAGAGGGAGTGAGGGACCTGCTGCCCCCAAATTGCCGCAGGTGCCGCCCCTCTCCCTTGGCCGCCCCAAGCACCTGCTTGTTAAGCTGGTGCCTGGAGCCGGCCCTGCTGATAATCCCCGTTCAATGTCTGGATCTGCAACAGATTCCCCTGGGACGCTCACTTAATCTCTCAGTTCCCCACCCGTGAAACAAGGCTAATAATCAGCCATCTGCCTTGTTTATTTAGACTGTAACCCACTGGGGCAGGGCCTGGCTCGCTCTGTGGACATGTGCAGCACCCAGCCCAACAGAGCCGTGGTTGCTGGCGGGTTCCCGGTACTATGGCAACACAAATCAGAGTGGGACGTATTGACCTGGGCCTGGGTAAACGTCTCCCTTCCCACCCCTGGCCGGCCAAACGAGCTGGGGAGGGAGTGATGGGGAGAACTCACTGTCGCCAAGGCAATGGGGATGCTTTGGGCTGTTCTGGGAGGGTCCATGGTCTGAGGTCTGGACAGGGGGTGGGCGGGTGAGTGCAGGCTGTGAGCAACACTGTGATAACAACATGGAGACCCACCCCCAGAGGAGGGACGGGGACTGTGCTATCCAGGGACACCCAGGCCAGCTCTTTGCCCAGGAGAACATTACGGATCGGTTAGAGGAAACAGGAAGAACCCAGCGTCCCCTACTCACATTATTCAGGGCTGATTTGTGCCCCATCAGAATTCTCCCTTCTCCCAAAGCAGGTAAAGAGCCCCCCCCCTCCTCCATCCCGGATCACCCGCGATAACATGCATCCCTGCCACTGTTAGTCTAGTGCCTGAGGAAGGGGGAACTGAACCCAGCCTCGTCTGCACTGGTGCAGGGAGACGCTTTCCCGCTGCCCGGGATAGGTCCGCCAGGAGCCACAGTTGCTTGCTGAAAGCAGCTTGGTCTGGTGCCGTGGCTCAGGGGGCTCTGTTAGTTAGAACACACACACTGGCTTCCTTGAAGTTACTGATCATCTCCTGGCAGCTGGGCTTGTCACCGCACACGGGGGTGGAGTTCCCAAACCTCCCCCTCCTAACCTGGCCCCTGGGGTGACCCAGGATCGCTCACTCCATTACTCCCACCTCTGCAGTAAGAGGGGGCTCTGTCTAGACTGCGAGCTGGGGTAGGACTCCTCTGCTCAGGTACCCGCACTTGCCAGGCGCTCAGGGACCCAGCAGGACTATTGCTGGCAGCAGAGCTCTAGGAGCACGGGAAGGGAGTGGAGGCACCTCGGAGGACAACCCCCCCTGAAACCAGTGGGGATGTAGGCGGCTGGGCTTTGCTGCTATTTCTAGCCATGTTAGTTCAATGAGAATAGCTGGAGCACATGTACAGCAGCTGGGAATCAACCCCGTAGCTCCAGTGTAGATGCAGCCTTTAGCACTGCAGGGGGGAGCACGTGGCTAAGTGCAGGTAGACAGACCTAAGGGATCTCTGCGTGAGCTTGCACCCTAGAACTAGGGGTGTGGCTAGGATGGCAACTTGGGCTAGCTGCCCTGGTAGCGCCAGCGGTCTGGCATGATTGTATGCAGCAGCCACATTGCAGTGGCAGAACTAGTGTGTATCTGCCGACCTGCCCGGGGGAAGCCTGCGCCCGGGCCCAGCTACCCTGCAGACATATGGTAAGAGCAGAGGCTGGCCAACAGGGCCAGGTGTAGCACTGCTCATCAGCTTCTGAATGTCAAAATAGCTGCAACTTCCCCCCACACACACCCACCCACAAACAAAAGGGGAGGAGGAGGGATCGGGAAATAGTTGGATGTGATATTGGTGAAGTTTCTACCATAGAGCTGGCAAAAAAAAAAATTTGAAATTTTGAAAATATTCCCAATAAAAAGCAGAAAGATGTGTGTGTTTTTAGAAATAATTGATATTTATGGACAACCAAAGCAGACTGGACATTAGTGCAACACTTCTCAGAAACTGACAGCCATACAAAAATATATAAATTAAAAGTTATAAGAGACTTCTGTACAGCTTAGGAAAATGTACAAGGACTGGAATGCAATTTAAAAAACATACAAGCTTATTTCTTTCAGGGAGCTCGCCAAAGAATATAAATAAGAAATCTCTCTTTCCTTGCCCTAAATGCTGTACATTTTGAGGTAGAGAACTGCTTTATTTCCCTTAGAGCACAACGCAATATTTGGTTTTGCACCATTAGTTCATTACACTAATAGTTCCAAACTCATCCCCTCTGCTTGTGGCATGAACTAGAGCTCAGGTGATTAGTGAGAATTATTACCCTTCTCATAACAGTCTCCCCCTCCCCCTGTGCTGGCCTTGTCACTTGTCTAATGGAACGTCAGGGCACCATCTTTTCATTGTGTGCACAATGCCTAGTGCAATGGGCCACGGATTCCTCGCTGGAGCATCCAGGAGCTACTGGAATGCAAACAACAGGACGGTCTTTCAGCAGTAGTTCCTTGGGTTGGCCAATTACACAATCTCTTCCTGAGCAATTTGAACCTCGGCTACGGGCAGGTGCTTCTGCAGCTGCTAAGGAAACAGCCCATGGTGCCTCTGCTCCAGTTCTTGCTTCCATGCAGTGTTGAGCTGATAACAAGACTAGGCCATCGTTCGGCTTGACCCCCTGGCAGGGCATCTGAGACCCTGTTGAGAGCTCATCGGAAAATGGGATGCTCATGGAAAATTTCAACTTTGTGGCAAAAGTCAACCCCCTGAATCTTCCCATTCAGAAATGCAAGCGTGGTTCCTCACGTCCCCCAGGTCCTCTATGGGCCAGACTCCCCAGCCTGACCTCTTCTCTCGTGATGACCAGAAGGGAGAGTAAGAGCCAGATCTTGCCATGGCAATAGTAGCAGAGCTGTAACTCTCTCGCTGTGGTCCACCTGTTAGCTGGAGGGTACCAGAGGCACAATAGGTTGCTGTGGGTTACAGAAGCAAGTTTTCCTTCTCAAAGGCTTTGGGGCAAAATGGAAGAGACTAGGCTTTATTTCTATTAGAAACTGGGGTCTGTGCCCAGCTCTGCCTGCAGTGATGTTGATCTGTGAAATGGGTGAATGCTGTTACGAGCCAAGGGTCATGACGCGCACAGAAATATTAGACAGCAGGCAGTGGAAGAGCTGGGCCTAGAGCTCCTGGTCACGCAAGTTACTGCACCTCCTCCTAAGGGGACTCCCCCTTTGGTTTTACTTCCCAAACGTTGCAGCCTGTCACTCTCCCAAAACTGCCTGCTGGGTGGGGAGTCACAGGACTCCTGAGCAATGCAGGAAAGCTGGCAGAACGGCAGTGGCCTGGTCCCCCCCTAGAACAACACTGAACCTCTGCCATAAGTGCCCGGGCCAGGGCCAGGCTCTGGTGGCAGTGGGGAAGTAGATCATAGCACAGAGGGTTCTATGTTCACAACCCTCTTCCCCCTCCCGGCCTCACACCCATCCCGGGGGATTTTATCCCTTCATGGAAAACTGCTGCTGCTTCTTCCCTTTTGCACTCACTCTGAGGAACTTGGAAGGCTCATGCTCTGGGAGGATTAGCAGGAACACGTAAGTAATGAGCTGTTCATTATTAATTCCTAAAATATTTAGAGTGGTAAAAATTTAAGGCAGATTATCCCCATTGGCACTAATGTGCAGGTCATAAGCACTGTGGCAGGACGTTCCCTGGTCTGGCTAGTGCTGACTTAGTGTAAGGGATAAAGCCACTGCTAGCCAACAGACCATTTTAGTGGCCTCCAACTCTCAATTAAGAAATACACCTCTACCCCAATATAACGCGACCCGATATAACACAGTAAAGCAGTGCTCTGGGGGGGGGGGCGGCGCTGCGCACTCCGCCGGATCAAAGCAAGTTCGATATAGGTGAAACCGCGGTATAACGCGGTAAGATTTTTTGGCTCCCGAGGACAGCGTTATATGGGGCTAGAGGTATAGCTAGATTTGCTCTGAGCCAGTCAACTTCAGCATCTTTCAAAAAAACCCGAACACACTGGTTTGGTTTAAACTAAATGGTCACAAGCTCATCTATGAATAGACGCACGGGCATTAATTTACAGTCTTAAAGCCATTTTTTAATACTGTGCGGAAGTGAGCTAATGAACCTGTGTCTGCGACTCAGACTTTAAGGTCAGAAGGGACCCTCATGATCCTCTAGTCAGCCCTTCTGCACAGCGCAGGCCACAGACCCTCACCTTCCCCTTCCAGTATCAGACACCTAACCTCTGGCTGAGTTACTGAAGTTCTCAAATCATGCTTTCAAGACTTCAAGTTACAGAGAATCCACGCTACAGAGGAAGGCAACCTCCCTCCAGGGTCTCTGCCAATCTGAGCAGGGAAAAATTCCTTCCCACCCTCCAATATGGTCATCAGTTAGACCCTAAGCATGTGGGCAAGACCCAGCAGCCAGACACCTGGAAAAGAATTCACTGTAGTAACAACTCAGCGCTCTCCCCATCTTATGTCCCATCACTGGCCATATGAGATATTTGCTACTAGCAGTCACAGATGGGACTGCCAACAATGGCATATAGCCAATCAGACCATCCCCTCCATAAACTTACCAAGCTCACTCTTGAAGCCCGTTAGGTTTTTTACCCCCTTGAGCCTCCCTGGGAGGCTGCTCCAGAACTTCACTCCTGTGCTGGGTAGAAACCTTCACCTAGTTTCAAGCCTAAACTTGTTGATGGCCAGTTTATAGGCCTTTGTTCTTGTGTGCACATTGGCACTTAACTTAAATAACTTCTCTCCCTCCCTGGTATTTATCCTTCTGATGTATTTATAGAGAGCGATCAGATCTCCCCTCAGCCTTCATCTGGTTAGGCTAAACAAGCCGAGCTCTTTGAGTGTCCTCACATGTCACAGCACGAATGGGTTACAACTTGGATGCGCACCAAGGTTAGAAACTAGACAGTTGGGCTCGAGGTCTAGCCCTGGCCTATTTAACAGCACCAGAACATTGCCAGCCCCTTGGGAGAACTCAGTTGCACCCAAACTGTCCTGTTCAGCGCACCCGCAGCCCCAGTGCACAGGGGCCAGTTCAGATTGGAGAATTCAAACCCACTTCCTTTCTCCCCCGACCCTCCAAGTTCTCAGGGATTTGGATTTGAGGCTGCAGTTTTAAATCTTCCACTTGAGAATAGTCAAAACACTTGCAGCCTGGGGAGCCCCCCACAGCAATATCTTGCTAACACCTAAAAGTCACCAAGCAGAACTGAGGGGTGGGGTAGGGGACTAGGAGTGAAGAGACTGGGTTCTCTTCTCAGCTCTGCCAGGTGAGCAAGTCCCTTCTCTTTTCTGGACCCGTGTTCCTACCCCTCCTGGGCCTGCCTTGTCACATTAGGTTGTGAGCACTTCAGGGCAGGGATGCTGCGTCTTGCTGTGGTTAACATTTTGAAATTGCTTAAGTGACTTAGGTACTTTTTAAAGTTTTACCCAATCCATCTGCAGTGCCCAGCACAAGGGAACCCCATTATCCTTTCCTCTCCTTCCCTGTGGAATCTGGGACAAAGTCCCTCAGGGTTTGTGTTCCCTCCCTAACCCATTTCTCTGCAACTGATTGTTTTTACTCGCATCAAGCACAAGGTTTTGCTCAAGAAAGAAGTTCCAGTGCATTAGTGTTTCTGCCATCTTTCCCTTTCCCCAACTTCTCTCTGCCCTTTGTGTGTGAGCTGTCCCTGATCCAGCCTCTGGTTCTGCAGAGATTCCAAGCCCAGAAGGGACCACTGATATAGACAGGAGATCAGACTAGACTAACACAGGCCAGAGACCTGCCCCAAAATAATTCCTAGAGCTGATTTTAGAGAAACATCAAGTCTGGATTTAAAAAGGGTCAGTGATAGAGACTCCACCACAACCCTTGGTAAATTGTTCCACTAGTTAATTACTCACTGTTAAAAATGTGTGCTTTATTTCCAGTCTGAATTTGGCTAGCTTCACCTTCCAGCCAGTGGATCGTGTTACATCTTTCGCTGCTGGATTGAAAGATCAAGTCACCCCTTAACCTTCTCTGTTAAGGTTGCGTTCCTTGAGTCTATCGTGTTTTCTAATCCTTGAATCATTTTTGTGGCTCTTCGCTGAACCCGCTCCAATTTATCAACACCTTCCTTGAAGTGTTGCCACCAGAAGTGGACACGTTATTGCAGCAGTGCCAAATACAGAGGAAAAATAAACTCTATGCCTACTCACGATTGCCCCGTTTATCCCAGAATCGTGTTAGCTCTTTTGGCCACAGAATCACCCTGGGAGCTCATGTTCAGCTGATTGTCCACCACGACCCCCGACTCTCTTTCAGAGTCACAGGACGCAGTCCCCCAGGCTGTATTTATGGCCTATATTCTTTGTTCCTAGCTAGAGACATTTCGCCACATTAAAATGCACATTGTTCGCACCCCTGGTTCACGGGACTATCGAGCGTATCCTGTGCCATGGCCCCTCCGCCTGCAGAAGGAGAAGGAGTGAGCGTGCTGAGTGCCCGGCAGCAAGCAGTGCCTGCCTCTGCCTCGCCCCAGAAAGGAGCCTGGCTCACTCCTGCGCTTTGCACGGATTCCTTTCCTTACACGAGCCCTAGTGCTTGCAGCTATAGATCACCTCCTCCTGCATGCACTGCTGGCATTCCACATAGCAGCACCACTGCACTTGGCAGTGGCAAGAGAAGGTGACCATCCGGCTCTGTGTATTGTAGCCACGCCCACAGCACAGGCTGTCACAGCTGGCCTCCCGGGAGCATGTCCTTCCGGCAGTGCCCAGCGAGTATTTGCTGGGCCGGCAGAAGCTAGGCGAGTCCTCCACGTACACCAGATCTGTGGGGCGTGGAGTAGCTGGGCTTTTGGGGGAGTGGCCATGTCTCTGCGTGCCCACGAGCTCGGAGTGCCCCACAGCAGCATTCGTGGCACTGAAGATCTTGACAGCATCGTCATAGCGCAGCTTGAGGATCTTGCCAGTCTCGTGGAAAGGGGAGAGCTGCTTCCAGCAGGTCCTCACGGCACAGGAGCCCGAGACACCATGGCACTTGCACGTGGTTTTGAGACCATTCTTCACGGCCTGAGGAGGAAGAAACTCCAGTTAGTATTTGCAAGGACCATGGGCCTAGCTCTCGGTATAGAGAACACCGCACTGAGAGCATCTCAAAAACACTGCCATGCGGGATGCCAGTCCTGTGTTACAGATAGGGAAACTACGGCGCACCAAGAGGGGTCGTCATAAAAATGGTTCGAAGGGTGGAAAAATGCTGTACAGCGAGAAACTGACAGAGCTCAATCAAAAAGAAGAGGGCGAGGTGACTCGATTCAGCAGCTAGGGATCTTCACAGGGAGAAAACACAGGGTATTAAAGGACACTTGAATCTAGCGGAGAAAAGCAGAACAAGAACCAGTGGCTAGAAGCTGGAACCAGACAAATCCAAATGAGAAGTTAGGCCCAAACTGAGCAGGGAGGGGGAATGAGCTACCAAGGGGAGTGGTGGATTCTTCATCTCAGTGTCTCCAGATCAAGCCAGGAGGCCTTTCTGGAAGATGTTTTATCAAACAAGTTATTGGGCTCAGCACAGGGGTGACATTTAATGGCCTGCGATAATTGGATGATCTAATGGTCTCATCTGGCCTTAAATTATGAATCTAGGACAAGCCTTGCCCAAGGCAGCAGAGGGGGATTTACCATGAAACAAACAGTGCAGTGGCACAGGGCCCCCAATGACAGGGGGCCCCCAAAATGCAGGACAAATCTCATCGGACAACCTGCCCCTGAGTCCCGGCCGGCAGTGCAGCAGGGCTCAGGCAGGCTGCCTGCATTCCCTGGCCGGTGGCCCCAGGCCGCTCCCAGAAGCAGCCGGCTGCTGGCCCGTCTCTGTGTGTCCCTGATGGGGGGGGGGGAAGTGGCTCCACGCGCTTCCCCCTCCCCGCAAGGGGCGTGCAGAGATGTGCCGGCAGCAGCAGAGCAGGGCTAAGGCGGCTCCCTGACCATGCTGCCTCCCTCCCTCCGTGCCACTCCTAGAAGTGACCGGCGTGTCCCTATGGCCCCTAGGGGGGCGGGGGTGTCTCCGTGTGTTGCCCCCGCCCCGAGAGCCAACTCTGCAGCTCCCATTGGCCGGGAACTTCAGCCAATGGTAGCTGTGCGGGCGGCACCTGTGGGCAGCGGCGTACAGAGACCCCCTGGTCCCTCCCCCCCCGCCTAGGCGCCGCTGCCAGAGGGGTGTGCCGGTCGCTTTGGGAGCTGTGCCGCCTATGGTAAACGTCACCCCCTGACCCTTCCCACACCCCAACTCCATGCCCCAGCCCAGAGCCCAAACCCAGCACCCAAACTTCCTCCCAGAGCCCGACCCCCGCACCCCACTCCCCACACCCCAACCCCCTGCCCCAGCCCAGAGCCCAAACCCAGCACCCAAACTTCCTCCCAGAGCCCGACCCCCGCACCCACTCCCACACCCCAACCCCCTGCCCCAGCCCAGAGCTGGAACCCAGCACCCAAAACTTCCTCCCAGAGCCCGACCCCCGCACCCACACCCCCTACCCCAGCCCAGAGCTCAAACCCAGCACCCAAACTCCCTCCCAGAGCCCAACCCCCACACTCCAACCCACTGCCCCAATCAAGGTACCTCACTTTATTTTCATTTCCTTCCTGTTACTTATAATATAGGAGGATGAAGAAAAAAATAATGAAAAACAGGGGGGGATAAGAGAGAATGTTCTTTTTCTTGGCGGGGTCCTGAAAATGAAGCTGCACACAGGGCCCCACTAACTCCCAATCTGCCACTGGATTGAAGCCAGGAGTCCTGACTCCCAGCCCCTTTCTCTAACCACTTGCCAGCCCTGCATCTCTAGCCAGACTCAAAACCCGAATGGCCACGTGAACATGGCTGGATTTACCAAGTGCAGAGTCATACGCAGACTTCATAGCGTCACTATGCTGCTGACAGTGGGCACCCAGTTTCACAGCAGTGGGCATATAGAAATCACTCCTCTCTATAGGCCCAGGCCCCTGCCACCCGAGCGAAAGGAGACTTTTTGGTTAACTCTCAGTAGCACAAGGCCTATGCCCCAGGTAAGCAGTTCTGACTAGTCAGTAGAGGGGCAGCGGCCGCTCTCCCTCACCACACCAGTTCCCCTGTAGAAGGCATAACGGCAGAGGATAAGTCAAGATGTTTGCATCTGATCCTTGAACCCTTTCTGCGCCCAGTGCCCTGCTCCCTCACCTTGATGCCCACGTTGGTGTTGTGGATATCCACCTTAGCCCGCAGGTCTTTGCCAATCTTCTTCTGGCCCAGGAAGTTTTTGAGGAACTTGGTGCTGTATTTGAGGTTGTCGCCACATACTCCCCATTGCCAGGCCTTGCGGTTCTCCAGGTCTGGAGAGTCATCGCAGGTGCAGCGCTCCATGCGTCCAGCGCTGCATGCCCGGGCCAGGGCGTGGGTAAGCGCCGCAGAGGACACTGCATACAGGAAGGCAGTTTCCTTAAAACCTGCACAAGATAGAAAGGTTAAGAAAGGCTGGGAATGAGGACCAGGCATTCACCCACATAACTGGGCTCTCTGCTGTATCCACACAAAGAAATACCGGGCCCTATTCTATGGGGAGATGGGATGGGATGGTTTGGATGGCCTACATCTCAATCTTCTGGGTGACAGACTATCATGCTCCTGACTAGTCTAGCACCCTCCCTTCCTGTTGCTCGTTGAGCGAATGGGGTAAACAGCACAATCATAACTCTGACACTGGGTATCACAAATGTAAAGAACCAAGGTGTTAAGGGACAGAAAGGAAAGAGGTTCCTCAAGTGCCCGGACACGGATTCTAGAACCTGGGGGACACGAGAAGTCAGACACATCCATTTATAAAAAAAGAAGTTAAACATCACTGGTATTCCTGAAACCTGAGCGAAATGTTAGTCACTGGACATGCTGGGTTAGAAGATGCATAGAATCCCAGGCCATAAGGGACCACGGTGATGATCTAGTCTGCCCCCCGTATAACCCAGGCTGGAGAAGAATCCCTAGAGCAGATATTTAGGAAAATCATCCAATCTTGATTTATAAACGGTCAGTGATGGAAAATCCACTGTGACACTTCGTAAATTAGTCTATTAAAATTCCCATCTGAATTTGGCTAGCTTCAACTTCCAGCTATTGGATCAGTTTAGACCTTTCTCTGCTAGACTGAACAGCCCATTATTAAATAATTGTTCCCTATGTAGGTAGTGATTGTAATTTAGTTACCCTTTAACCTTCCTTGTTAAGCTCAATAGATTGAGCTCTTCGAGACTATCACTGTAAGGCAGGTTTTCTACTCCTTTAATCAATCATTCTTGTGGCTCTTCTCTGAACCCTCTCCAATGTATCAAATTCCTTCTTTAATCGTGGACACCAGAACTGCACACAATATACTGGCTGCAGTCACATTAGAGCAAGGTACAGAGATCACCTCTACTCCCTACTCAAGATTCCCCTGTTTCCTCAACCAGTACAGAACCAGATTGCTGGTATGTAAAATTAAAAAGGTCATAGAGGAGTTTTGACACTAAAGGGCTTGGAGAAAGCCAGCAGGTGAAGAACACACAGTTCAGACAGACATATCCATTAGTGGAGGATTTATTAAAGGGGATACCCTATATTCAAGTAAAGAGGATAGCGTAGAAGTTGATAAAGTACAGGTAGGAACCAAAGAGAAACATTCAAACAAACAAACAAACAGAATCAAATTCAATTACATCACATGAAGGCAGACAACTAAATATTGACAAATTTTATAAGTATCTCTATACAAATGCTAGAAGTCTAAAGACAAAGATGGGTGAACTTGAGTGCCTGGTATTAAATAAGGATATTGATATAACAGGCCTCCTAGAAACTTGGTGAAATGATGAGTGGGATATGGTAATACCAGGGTGCAAAATATATAGGAATGATTTAGTAGGTTGTGCTGATGAGGGAGTGGCATTGTCTATGAAAGAACACAGAGTGAAATACAGTATAAATCTTAAATGGATCAAACTGTACCATAGAATCTCTAAGGCCAGACATTCCATGCTTGACTAATAAGAGTACAGCAATAGAAATATACTACCGACCACCTGACCAGGTGAGTCTGAAGTGTTCAGGTAGATTACAAAAGCAAAAACCAAATAATAATGGGGGATTTCAACTATCCCAATACGGACTGGATATGTGTCACCTCCGGACAGGATGCAGAGATAAAATTTCTAGATACCACTAATGGCTGCTTCTTGGAGCAGCTAGTCCTAGAGCCCACAAGGGGAGAGTTAATTCTTGATTTAGTTCAAAGCGGCACACCGGATCTGGTCCAAGATGTGAATATAGCTGAACTGCTCAGTAATAGTGACCTTAATGCAATTAAATTTAATATCCTTGTAGGGGGTAACACACCAAAGAAATCCACCACAGTAGCATTGAACTTCAAAAAGGGGAACTGCACAGAAATGAGATTAATTAAACAGAAATTAAGAGCAACAGTCACAAGAGTGAAATGCCTGCAAGCTGCATGGAAACTTTAAAAAAACCTCCATAATAGAAGTGAATATATTACTAGATCTTACTATTAATATACTAAATGTATATCCCAAGTGTAAAAAACAAAACAAACAAGAAACAGGACACATGCTACCATGGGTACACAACAGAGTAAACAAGGCAGTTAGAGGCAAAAAGGAATCCTTTAAAAATTAGAAGCCAAATCCTAGTGAGAAAAATAGACAGGACCATAAACTTTGGCTAGCCAAGTTTAAAAGTATAATTAGGCAGACCAAAACAATTTGAAAAGCCAATAGCAAAAGACAAAAACAAAAGCAGGAAGTCTGCCAATCAGTGGGGCCACTGGACAATCAAGGTGCTAAAAGAGCTCTGAAGGCAGACAAGGCTGTTAGAGAAATTAAATGAGTTATTTGTATCGGTCTTCATTTCAGAGAATGTGAGGGAGATTCCCATCCCTGAGCCATTCCTTTTAGGTGACAAATCTGAGGCACTGTCCCAGATTGAGGTGTTAGAGGAGGTTTTAGAACAAATTGATAAATTGAATAATAATAAGTCACCAGGACTAGATGGTATTCACCCAAGAGTTCTGAAGGAACTCAAATATGAAATTGCAGAACTATTAACTGTGGTATGATGTAACCAGCTTCTGTACCAGATGGGTGGAGGACAGCTAATGCAACATTATTTTTAATAAAATGGCTGCAGGCTGGTAAGCCTAACTTCAGTACTAGGCAAACTGGTTGAAAGGACAGAATTATCAGACACAGATGAACACGATTTATTGTGAAAGGGTCAACTTGGCTTTTGTAAAGAAAAATCATGCCTCAGCAGTCTATTAGAATTATGGCAGGGGGGTCAACAAGCATGTGGGCGGTAGTGATTCAACCGATATAAGTGCCTTTGGATTTTCAGAAAGCCTTTGACAAGATCCCACACCAAAAGTTCTTAAGCAAGGTAAGCTGTCATGGGGTAAGAGGGAAGGTCTTATCATGGATCAGTAACTGGTTAAAAGATAGGAAACAAAGGGTAGGAATAAATGGTCAGTTTTCACAGTGGAGAGAGTTAAATAGCAGGGTCCCCCAAGGATCTGTGCTGGGACCTGTGCTTTTCAACATATTCAAAAATGATCTGGAAAACAGGGTGACCAGTGAGGTGGCAAACCCTGCAGACAATATAAAATTACTCAAGATAAATTCCAAGCAAACTGCAAAGTGTTACAAAGGAAACTCTCAAAACTGGTGACTGGGCAACAAAATGGCAGATGAAATTCAATGTTGATAAGTGCAAAGTAATGCACATTGGAAAACATAATCCAAGTTATGCATACAAAATAATAAGGTCTAAATTAGCTGTTACCACTCAAGAATGGTCTTGGGTCATCATAGAGAATTCCCTGAAAAAGATCTACTCCATGTGAAGCAGTGGTCAAAAACAGTAATAGCATGTTAGGAACCATTAGCAAAGGGATAGATTGTAAGACAGAAAACAAAGCCACAATAGACTCACTATCTCAGAAAGTGCACTCTTTATTTGTGATTAGGGGATGAGAGCTGGATGAGAGTCAACAGTGTGCCCTTGTTGCCAAGAAGGATAACGGCATTTTGGGCTGTATAAGTAGGAGCATTGCCAGCAGATCGAGGGATGTGATTGTTCCCCTCTATTCGGCATTGGTGAGGCCTCATCTGGAATACTGTGTCCAGTTTTGGGCCCCACACTACAAGAAGGATGTGGAAAGAGTCCAGCGGAGGGCAACAAAAATGATTGGGGACTGGAGCACATGATTTATGAGGGAACTGGGATTATTTAGTCTGCAGAAGAGAAGAAGAATAAGGGGGAATTTGATAGCTGCTTTCAACTACCTGGAAGGGGGTTTCAAAGAGGATGGATCTCAACTGTTCTCAGTGGTACCAGATGACAGAACAAGGAGTAATGGTCTCAAGTTGCAGAGGGGGAGGTTTAGGTTGGATATTAGGAAAAACTTTTTCACTAGGAGGGTGGTGAAGCACTGGAATGGGTTCCCTAGGGAGGTGGTGGAATCTCCTTCCTTAGAGGTTTTTATGGTCAGGCTTGACAGAGCCCTGGCTGGGATGATTTAGTTGGGGATTGGTCCTGCTTTGAGCAGGGGGTTGGACTAGATGACCTCCTGAGGTCCCTTCCAACCCTGATATTCTATGATTAGGGAGATGGTTATATGTCCGTCCGTCCCCCTACCGTCCCCCCCATTTTCTATCATTCTGGCACACATTTTATGCACCAATTTCTTTGTTTTTAAGTTGACAATACTGTACATAGGTTGTTTCTATCTAAATATATATGAAACAAGCAGAACTTAAAATACAAATCAATACAGGTGACTTTCAATATGTAGAATCTGTTTGACTCACACAAAGTTGTGCTTAGGTTTATGTGGCCCTACTGTGTAATAAGACTGAGCACCACTGTCCTAACAGATAAGGGGAACTGATCACAGAACTAAAAATTAATGGTAGCTTAGGTACAAGTGATCATGGCTTGATCACATTTATAATGTGCAAGCAGAATAAATTCCAGACCACAGGATATATACTTTGTGCTTTAATAGGGCCAATTTCACAAAGCTGAAAACAATTATGAGCCAAATCAGCTGGAAGGAACAATTTAGGAACAAGGTTGAATGACATTTTTTGACCAAAACTTTTCAGTGGAAAAAAAAAATGCAGATTCAGGTTCACTGAAGCATTTTACAAATCTGTCAATTTTGCTGAATTGCTTCGGTTGAAACAAACAAAAAAAACCACACCTCAGTAAATTTCAGGAAAAAAAAATCAAAGTGTTGTTTTGCCAATCAAAAAGAAATATTTCGTTTGTAATAAAAATGGTCTGTTCTGAAATTTCCTTTATTCTAAAAATTAAATGTAAAACATGCTCAAAATCAAAACAATATTTGTTCAACTCAAAACAATGTTCTCAACTTTTCACTTTGCCAAACATTTAGAAAAATTACAGTTTTGAGTCAACCTGAAACTATTTTTTAAATTTTTCAGATGTGCCATCGAACCAAAATAATACGACATCTCTGACTCACAGTGCTAGTAAAGTATAAATAATGGCATCGTAATTAATAACCTGCATGTTTTTATAGAAAATAGGTCTTGTTAATTAAACTTGATACAGTTCTGAGGCAGTTACAAATTCAATTGACAAAAGTAACTGTCAACATAATTATAAAGAGACATGGTGGGTGAGGTATGGAGATATACCTATCTCATAGAACTGGAAGGGACCCCAAAAGGTCATTGAGTCCAGCCCCTTGCCTTCACTAGCAGGACCAAGTACTGATTTTTGCCCCCGATCCCTAAGTGGCCCCCTCAAGGATTGAACTCACAACCTTGGATCAGTGTGTCAAGATAGTAGACTGACCCTAAGACATTTGATTTAGCCCTGCATTGCATTCTGAAAAAAAAAAAATCAATGCAACATATATTTAATTTATTAAAAACTGGCCGAGTAAATGCGAAATCATCCTCCACTATGGGTGTTTCTAGTGGGATCCAACAGTGACCAGTTCTTGTCCAAGTACTAGTCAAGATTTTCTCCATGATCTGGAAGATAGTTGAATATCATGGCTGGTAAAATATGCCGACAACTCAAACTGGTGGAATGATAAATAATGGTGAGGATAAATCATTCTACAGAGCAATCTACATCATTTGGTGAGCTGGGCTCACGTGAACAACAACATGTTTTAATACGGCCAAAATACAAGGTCAGGCATCTTGAACCCAAGAATGTAGGTCACCCTTATGAGATACTGAGAAGAGGTGACTGAAGAGGATGAGAGGGTCATTGTTGATAGCCATCCGAATACAAGCTGTGACTTAGGGCGAATGCAAACGTTGGATGTTTGACTTAGGGCGAATGCAAACGTTGGATGTTTAACATAGGCATGGGAATACTGAATAGGAGGAAGGAGTTGCCACCATGGCATACAGCATTAGTGAGACCATTACTGGAATGGTCTGTCCAGTTCTGGTGTCCATGCTGCAAAAACAAACCATGTTAAACTGGAATGGGATCAGAAAATAGCTACACGAATGATTGAAGGTCTGGAAAACCTGCCTTATAGTGAGACTAAAACAGCTTGGTGTATTCAGTATAGCCAAGAGAAGGTAAAGTAGTAATTTGATTGCAGTCATGTACCTACCTGGGGAAAGATTTCTGATAGCAGAAGGCTCTTTAATCTAGCTGATAGGGTTACCAGGTGTCCAGTTTCTGACCGGAACACCCAGTCGAAAAGGGACCCAGGTGGCTCCAGTCAGCACCATCGACCGGGCTGTTAGAAGTCCGGTCGGTGGTGCAGCGGGGGCCCGGGACTCAGGCAGGCTCCCTGCCTGCTCTAGCTCCGCACGGCTCCCGGAAGTGACCACCAGGTCCTAGCGGTCCCTAGGCCAATGGGCAGCCACAGAGGCTCCATGCGCTACCCCCGCCCCTGGTGCCGGCTCTGCAGTTCCCATTAGCTGGAAACTGTGACCAATGGGAGCTGCGGGGGCAGCACATGGAGCCTCCCTGGCCGCCCATGCACATGGCCGATTCCTAGGAGCTGCAGTAAGCACAGCTGGGACTCTGTACCCCAACCTCCTGCCCCAGCCCAGAGTCCCCTCCGGCACCCAAACTCCCTCCCAAAGCCTGTACCCTGCACACACACCCCAACCCCATCCCGGAGTCCCCTCCTGTACCCCAAATCCCTCATCCCCAGCCCTACCCCTAGCCACTGCCCCAACCCCCTGCTCCAGCTCAGAGCCCTTTCCCACAACCTGAACCCCTCATTTCTGGCCCCACCCAGAGCCCACACTCCCAGACCAAAGCCCATACCCTCCCTGCACCCCAACCCCCTGCCCTAGCCCCCTCCCACACCCCAAACCCCTCATCCCCCGCCCACCCTAGAGCCCACACCCCCAGCCAGAGCCCTCATCCCCCTCCCACACTCCAACCCACTGCCCCAGCCCAGTGAAAGTGAGGGTGGGGAAGAGCAAGCAACAGAGGGAGAGGGGATGGGGGGGGGGGTGTTCGGTTCTGTGCCATTGGAAAGTTGGCAACCCTTCCAGCAGGCAAAGGCAGAACAAGGTCCAATGTTGGAAGCTGAAACCAGACAAGTTCTAACTATAAATCAGACTCATATTATTTGTAAATGAGGCTAATTAATTATTGTCACAACTTGCCTTGGGATGTGATGGATTTCCTTTCGCTTGGGGTCTTACATCAAGACTGCATGTCTTTCTAAAGGGTGCTCTAGCTTGACCAGCAATGACGGTTTGAAGCAGGAATCCCTGGGTTACATTTTCTGGCCTGTGCTGTGTGGGAGGTCAGACTAGATGATCCCAGTGCTTCCTTCTGGCCTTAAGAATCTATGAATAGTGCACAGTACCTCCGAGGGTGCTAAAGGGGACAGTGTTGCCAGAAGTGCTACCTTGTAGATTAAATTTACCTGCAGTCCTCACTATTTGGGATCATTAATGCTTGCATGGCACTTGCAGGGAGAGTCTGAGTGTTAACCCTGGTGTCCAATTCCCATTTCCCTTAATTATACTGCCTCCTAAAGGCCCCTGGTAGTTTCACTTGGAGATAGGACTGGAAGGGTGGAAGTATCCTAAGTTATTCCATAGCATGACTGTGCAGCTGTTACATTCTGCCATGCTTTGCCCCAGAGTTGGTTGCATTTCAGCAATGGTCAAGTTGATGTGGGCTTTTGAGATTAAAACTTTTTCAAGGAATAAAATTATCTATCATCAAGGATGTGTGTGCCCAGCAATCCAGCTTGGAGTGATTAAAACATCCCATATGCCACATTATGCACATTTACAAACCATGCAGCAAGCTCTGGGCTAGAGCAAGCAGCCAAAAGTTCACTGCTTGCACCCACGTACGCCAAGGCCAGGTTTGGTCCTGTATGTTCATAGGGCGAGCTGACATTCTGGGTCTTAGAGCAGCGGCTCAGCCCTCAGAGCCCAGGGACAGAGGGGGGCCCAATGCGATTTTAAGCCACCGTTGCGGTTTTCCAATTCTAGGCCTACGTGACCCCTGGGGAAGCTAGGCAACCCAAGCCAAGCGACCTGCGGGCAGCAGCACTAGACAGAATTACTGTCAAGGCATCTGCTAAGGCCCCGCCCCCATCCCAGGCACGCACACTCCTCTTCCTCACAGGACAGCGTGCGCTGGTGTTACTCAGTTCTCGCATTCTGGGGGGTGGGAGGGCAGAAATCCATCATGCTGCCAGAGCAGGAAGGAGAATCCCGCTTCAATTCTAAGGCCAGCAGCGGCTATTATGATCACCTCGTCTGACCTTCTGCAGAACACAGGCTGGGGACCTGCCCCACTAATTCCCACATCCCGCTCAACTTCTAGTTGAGCTGGAGCAGATCTGTCTGAAAGAGGCATCCAGTCTCGATTTAAAGACTCCAAGTGACAGAATCCACCACATCTCCAGTGGAGAATTCCTCCCCCTGGAACAACTGGCACCTTAGTGCTAGTCTGAAGTTTTCCAGCTTTAGCTGTCAGACATTGGATTTTGTTCTGTCCTTTTCTGCTCGATTAAAGAGTCCTTGGCAGTCAGGAATCTTCTCGTGTAGGTACCTGTGGTATGTGCTCAAGTCACCATTTGGGTAGGCAATGAACACACAGACACACACACCCTTCTTAAGGTAAAGATTCAGGGCCGAATCTCAAAGTTTAAGGGACCTTTCACCCCTCGGTGACTGATTCAGGTGAATAGCCACTCTTGACGGCTCCTCTCAGGTGGCCTGTTCAGTTGCCTGCATGAAAGTAGTCTAGTCTCAGTCCTGCTCCCAGGGGTCGGAAATCCACATTACAATTGCTGTCCTCAGCAGAGAGAGGCCAAGGATGGAATGGGCCTAGAGAGTGGGCTGAAACCCAGTGGCGAGGGCAGAGCGCCTGCCTGGTCACTGAATGTTCATCAATCCTGCCCTTTCACTGGCTCGACATTCCCAGAAAAGACTCACGTTTTCCAAACTCAAGCCTGGTTCCCTGCTCTGGTGAGGCCCAGCTACTGCCCAGAATGGGATTCTGTACCACAGGCCAGCGGCTGCTGCGTACCTCTCTTCAACAGGCTGGTCCGTCCATCCAGGCTGCAGTTCCAGCGCTCATTGCGGAACTGGTACTGGCACTCCATGATGCTGAGCCGGACGGCATCCCGCAGGGTCTCCGCCAGCCCCGGCTCCCGCTGGCAGAGCCTTTTCTGCTTACGGGACAGCTTGAGCAAGTCACACTGCTTCAGGTGTGCCTTCCCTTGGGCAGGGTTCGCAGAGGGGCCCAGTGAGGGAAGATGGGTCAGACCTTCCTTCCCGGTCAGGCTGAGAGGGGAGAGAGCAGGGAGAGAGGTGAGTCCAGAGAGACACCATGGCCAAAGGGCTGACCGGAGGGAGCTTCAGAAAGCTGCTAGTTAGAACATGGCACAGTTACCAGCTCGAGAACTGGCGAGTAGAGCTGGTGAAGAACGGATTTTTTGGTTTGCTGGCCGTTCCAAAAACTAAAAATAATAATAAAAAATAAATTGATTGGATAGAACTGAATGCAACCCTGGCAAATCAAAATGGTTGACAAAGATTTCATTTCAATTAAACAGTTGCATTTAATTTCTGGGCACTTATTCACATAAAAGCAGAGGGCTAGAGTCACAAAACAGCCAGAGGAGGAAGTGACAATCTTTAGCCCAATGGTTCAAGCACGCACCTGGACCATGGAAGACCCAGGTTCAATTCCCCCACTCATGTCTGACATGGAGAAGGAATTTGGACTTGGGTCTCGCACGTTGCCCGAAAGTGCCTTATCTACTGGGCTAAGAAGTACACTGGTGTGTGCCTCTCACACTCTCCTGTTGAAGCAGTTCCACTGCCGATAAATAATGCAAGTGTCACTGGAGCAGGGATATGAGCATGGGTCTCCCCACTCCCAGGCGTGTGCCCTAACCGAAGAGTCAGCTCCACGCTCGCTCTCTGGCCCAGTGACCAGTCAAGTAGTTTATACAGCGTCAGCAGGAGAGACCGAGAACCTGTCCCAGAACAGCCCAGGGGCTTGGGCACTTTCCTGCAATGTGGGAAACAAGTTCAGATGCCATCTCCGCATCAGGCAAATTGAATCTGGGTCTTTTCCATCCCGGGTGAGTGCCCCAGCACTAGGGTAAGAGCTGTAAGTTAGGTGGCAGCACCCACTTCCTTCTCCAGTTTGGGAATGGTGCCCATTTCCTTGACAACACTTTTGGCAAACATGTCACATTCACAAATTGTTCTGAGTCCACCGAAAGTGCATTTTTCAGGCAATAAACAATTCACCCAGCTCCACAGGCCACTGCAACTCAAGCCACTGGCCCATCAGCTCTGGTCTGCCATCTCCAGAACTGAGTAAGGCCAGGTACAGGGCCTGATGCTGCAGAGTAAACAGAAGATACACACCCCCACAACACACCCACTGCAGAGCACCAACAGTGAACTTTCCTGCCAGGCCTCTAACGGATCAGGTTATGCGTCAAGCCTGCAGCTCAAGTTAGGGTTGCCAATTTTGGTTGGACGTATTCCTGGAGATTTCATCACATGACATTCATCTTTAAAGATTAATCTTTAATTCCTGGATACTCCAGGACAATCCTAGAGGGCTGGCAACCCCAGCTCAAGTACCCGTGTCTGGCATCACTGGCATTTTCACAATCACACACTGTTTGTCTATGTGCTCATAGACCAGTTACTGCACAAGGATACAGCAGGTTGCTACATGTCACAATTCACGTGACTGTACTTACTCGTAGGTATATTGATCACATTGACCGAGGCCATTCGTAAACCTCTACAGTGCTGCTATAGGCTACGACCAGCACGAAAGAAGAGACACTATGGCTAAGGGCAGTTCGGACCCTGCTAATAATCACAGGGGCGAGTTCTAGGCTCACACAGAGTCTGCCAATAAGGGCAGCGAGTGCTTTATAAATACCTAGTGTCCCAACAAAGTATTCCCAGCCCACATTAACCCTTGGAGGCTCCAAGATCACTGACTGAGTCCACGGCCAGTCAGCCCGAGCTTCCCTCTCCACCCGGAGAGCGCACACCCTGCTACATCTCACCAACCCCAGACCAAGCCTCGGCAAGGTCACTCAACATCAGCCAAGCGAGCAGCTGCTGGGCTCAGCCTCAGCGGCTGCACAGCAGGATCTGTGATCCATGGGGTGTGTCCACAGAAACTAGCAAGCCGTGCGGCAGCCTCAGCAGCGGGGCTCAGGCGGGGGGAATGATAGCATCTGTTCATGGATGAGGAGTTTCAGGAGCAAGCATGGACCACTCCTTCCCAACATGGCCCAGAGCTCTCCCCTGCAGTCCGAGGGATACACCAGTTAATCATTAAACTGGGCTGGGAAACTGGTAAGTTTCCAGTCTATCAAACTCAACGCTCTTTTCTCAGCAGCAGCCTGGGGAGAGCATTCTCCTCTTTACGCAGTCACCCACGGTACTCCTTCCTGCAGCAGGGTCCCTCAGCAAGCCGTGCCTTTGCGGAGCAGACTATCTGGCCAGGTGCACCCGTTTTCTGACAGAGGAGACCCTGCGTATACTCCACAATTACTGACACAAACAGTGAGCATTATGGGTATCCGCCCCACACCACCACCATCAAATTCTGGCTCAAGCACAAGCACAGAGAGCTGCGTTAACCTGTGGAACTCATTGCCACAATATGTCAAGTCAGAGACCTCAGTTTAAGTTTTTTTTTTTTTTTTTTTTTTTTAAATGATTAGCTCTATAGCAGTGGTTCCCAAACTTTAACAATCTGTGAACCCCTTTCACTAAAATGTCAAGTCTCACAAACCCCCTCCTAAAAATGAATATTTCCAGGGATTTTCTCCTTTACCTGAGTTTAAATTATCAAAGCAGTGATCTTGCAAATAAAAAATGTTGGTTTTGTGACATGCTTATTATACACAATTTATTATTAATTATTAATCATTATAGTATTTTTATTACATTATGAAAATGGCAACACTCTTCCAAGATCTCACTTTTGTAGCTTGTATCACTTTGAATAAGCCTGTTATAAGACAAGGCTCCTATGTTTCATCAAGGAGTATCAGATGTGAAACAGCATGAAGGTAATTAAGAAGCCAACTCAAAGAGTTCCTCCTACACAAGCATTCAGGTCTTGAGCAGTCCAGGCAAACAACGCACGTTACAACAAAGCTTAAACTTGTTCTTTATAATAATTTTAAAACCAATACTAGCTGCCTATTTAATTTTAAAAACAGCATGTTTTGTTCTCAATAAATACATGAGGACTCACTCATCCGGCTATTTGTAAACTGAATGTTTTATATGTTGTTCTAGGAGCTTCCCAGGTATCAAGGTCAGGCTGACTGGTCTATAGTTCCCAAGCGCCTCCTTTTTAAAAGTCACACAGGAAGCCTGTGGCCAAGTTGGAAACTGACCCTAGATCTCCCCAGATCCTGGCTAGCCCCCAGCACTTGGTCCAGCTATTTCTATGCACTGGAACAGCCACACGAAAGGAGTTTATTACAATCCCACCACATGGTCCTATGGACTTCACAGCCATGGTTATCAGGGCAAATACAGGCCTTATAGAGAACTAAACCAAACCACCAATACAGCCGGTGACATCTCTCAGTGTAAACTTTTTTGCCCCAAAAATGCTGATTTGGGTCAACACATTTGGGTTAATTTTGCCAAACTGTTTCAGCCAAAATGATTTTTTTTTTAATTTGAAAAGAAGAAAGTTTACAACATTATCAAACAGGCACATTTTGATTGGAGACAAGGTGGGTCAAGTAATATTTTTTACTGGACCAACTTCTGCTGGTAGAAGGGACACACACTTTTCCCCAGGTCTGGGGAGAGAAACAGAGGGCTTGTCTACACTAGAAACACTACACCGGTGCAGCAAAACTGCTATAGTGCTTCAGTGTAGATGCAGCGGATGGCTAGCTAGGGCCCGATTTACACTACACTTAAAATTTCACTCCTGCCAGTGTCAATGCCCCACTACACAAATGTAACACCACCACCTCCCCATGCAGCAGAGTGTCATGGTCTACGTAATTAAAATGACGCAGTGATAGCATAGACATGGCATTACTTATGCCGACTGTTACTGGCCTTGAGGAAGTGTCCCCCATGCCCCATCCTGATGGCTCTGGTCACTGTTGTGAACTCCACTGCCCAGGAGTCTGGACACGAACTGCCCCTCCCCTCTACTAGAGCGCTGAGAATTTTTGAATTTCCTTTTCATGGTTGCCTGGCTTGGTGAGTACACCTAGCATCTCGTGTGTGTGTGTGTGTGTGTGTGTGTGTGTGTGTGTGTCTGCCCAGCTGACCATGCCAACTACATGCTGCAGACATGCTCCTATCTGGAGTACACAGGAGGTATTGGATCTCCTGGGCCTGTGGGGAGAAGAGGGTTTGCAGACCCAGCTCTAGAAACGTGGACATCTAGGAGCAGATTGCTCAGGGGGATGCCGAAGAAAGACTCCCCCAGGGAGCAGCAGTGCCACATGAAAGTCAATGAGCTGCAATAGGTGGACCAGAAAGCCAGGGAGGCCAACAACCGATTGGGTGCAGAGCCACAATCCTGTTGGTTTTACAAAGAGCTGCAAGCCATCTTCGGAGAGACCCCACCATCACCCCCAAGAGCCCTGTGATTACTTCAGAGGAACTAGAATCACAGCCCCCTGCCGTGAACAGCGAGGAGGAGGAGGAGTAGGGGGGACAAATAACCAGGGATCCAGTAGTGCAGCAAGCCAGGACATGTTTTCGACTCCACCAGAGGCCAGCCAGTTGAGCCTAGCAAGCCTGATGCAGGGGAAGGTGCCTCTGGTGAGTATGCAGTTTGCTTTGACGTTACAGGGTTGGAACCCGCAAAGTAGCAGGACATCTGTTGATTTACTCTTTTAGACTTGTGCTAGAAGAGGTAGTGAAACGAGCAAGAGGTGGAGTTGCTATCGGCTTTTCATTCCCCGCTAGAGTTAGTGCAGCGGGATGTCCTGTGAATCCGCCATAGAGATCTTGATGAAACTTTCATGGCGGTGCTCTGCAATCCTCTGCTGAAGGTTTCTGAGGAGGGCTGAGTCACTGCCTCAGTGGGTCACAGCTGAAGATGCCAAATTCAGGACAAACGGCTGAGAAATAGGACAAGCTCACCCCAAACGAGTGATTATTCTCTCATTAGATTATACCAAGCCACTAACAAAAAAGTGAACGTCTGTCTCACCACACTGGTTAACAGGCAGCCAAAGATGCAGCAGTTTCCTTAGGCTTCCCAGCCTGTCTCACCATCCAGACCCTAGACTCTCTGATGAGTGGTT